CCCCTATCACTGCCCCTACCCCCCTGCCTCTACCACTTTCCTTTTACCACTGTTACCAAATGCCCCCTATCACTGCCTTATCACTGCCTCTATCAAATTGCCTCTTCCCCTGCCTCACCCCTGCCTCTATCACTTTCCCCTTTCACAAATTACCCCCGGGCCCCTTTATGCCTCTACCCCCTGCCTCTATCCTGCCTCTTCAAATGCCTCTTCAATGCTCTTTCCCCTGGGCCCCTTTCCATGCCTTTTACCCCCTGCCCCCTTTCCCTGCCCCACCCCTGGGCCCCTTCCCCCGCCTCTAACCGTCTATCATGCCTCTACCCCCTGCCCCTTTTCACTGCCCCTTTTCCCAAATTTCCCCTACCAAGCCCCTATCACTGCCCCTTTCCATGCCTTACCACTGGCCCCTACCCCTTTCCCTACCACGCCCCTCACTGCCTCTATCACTGCTCTACCACTGCCTCTATTTACTGCCTCTATCCCCTGCCTCTATCAATTTCCCCTATCACTTTTCCCCTATCCTGCCTTACCACTTTCCTTACCCCCTGTTATCACTGCCCCCTTTTCCCCGCCCCTAACCCCTCCAGTCGCACTCATCTACAAGCACCAAACAATGAATTATCATGAAATGTTTGGAAGAGCCCGGGAGACTAATGTTTCCCCCAGCATAAACCCAAAACCCACTGACGATGTGTCAACCAATCCCTGTATTTCTGTCCCAAATTTTCCCTTTTTCAATTATATGTATTATTATTTTTATTATTTTATTATTATTTATTATTTTTTTATTATTAGCAGTAGCAGAAATGTTTGATTTTTGCTGTGTTCAAGAGTAAACACATGATGTACCGTCTAATTTCCCGTAAAAAAGCCCTTCCCCTTTTGCAGTATGAATGTGTTTACATTATTTATACTGAGTTTAAAAAGGGAAATAATGAACAAAAAAAAACAATCACCCACTGAGTGGGGGGAGGGCTGGTGCCAGTTTGCGGGGGGCGGTGGGGGGGGTTTGTAGGGATCGCAGGTGGTGGGAAACTTGAATTTTGGTTTTGGAAGGGGGGAAATTTGGGGGGCTGGGGAAATTTTTGGGGGTTGGGAAAATTTGCGAATGTGTGAAAACCCGCGAAAACTGAAAAAATGAATGTTTTAGGGGACCTGTACTGCTTAATTTTAAAAAATTGGGATAAAAAAATTTTCAGTGCATTTGTGAAAAAAATTTGACTCCCAGTTGACAGGATTTTGGGGTTGGGGGTGTGATTTGCTTACTCCTGAACATTGGGAAAAAATCGAAAATTTCTGCTACTTTGGGGGCTCAATTTCACGGTCGTTTTCATCGTGAAAAATAATCAAAAACATCTCTATTTCTGTAAAAATGTTTTCCATTTTTTCATGTGAGCCATGAAAAAAGAATACAACGATAAAAACTATATGAAAAAACAATCAAAGTCGGCGTTTTTTAAACCAAAAAAAATGGTTTAGTTTTTTTTTTTCATTATGCATGTGTGCTGCAGGATTTTTTTTTTTTGTGGGCAACGACCAAAACAGGGCCCTTTCTTTCAAAATGGGCCCACCAGCTTTCTCCTGCTTGACTTGAAAACCGCTGAATTTATTTCTTTTTTTAATCGGGCCCAAACCCTGATCGTTAAAGGGGTATTTAATGACCAAAAAAGTCAGTGGGTTAAGTTTTTTTTGGCACAAATTGGGTAAATGAGGGCCCAAAAATGGGTGAAAACCCCTGTTGTGTTAAAAGTGATTGGGTTTAGAAATGGCATTACCAAACAAACTTTTAAATTTTTAAAATTTTAAAAAATTTGGGAAAAACTTAGGGTGATAAAGGGCAGAAATCGTCAACAGCCCCCCCCTGCAGGGCGAGGTCTTTTAAAAACTGTTTGAAAATCATTTTCTCAAAGGGTGTCAAGGGTTTTAAAAATTTTTAAAATTATAAAATTACCCCTAGGGGGTTATGTCAGCATATTTCATTCATGATTGTGACAAAAAACATACTTGTTTGGGCTTAAAAAGTCCCGCACCTTTCTGCCCAAATATAGGTTTATTTCAAACTCCTTGCGACTCAAGAACTGCGCAGTCCCCCGTATACAAGAAATTTGTAACCTTTCCCTTTTTTTTTTTAGCGTGAGCTATGGTGTTCTTAACCCTTTGAACTTTCGGTGTGACTTGAAAAAGCTGAAGTGTCCTTGGATTTTCCACGTTTTCCCTAGTCTAGGGAAAAAGCACAATGGTACACTATGTTCCACAAGATTTGTCTTTATTGTTCACAATCTTTTCACTAAAAGAAGCTGTTTAAAACTTCCCCTTAAGTGTTTTTTTGTGGTTTTTTTTGGAACCTTGTTCACTAAACGTACAAAGAAACAGTGTTCTTTGTGGTTTTTCCGGAATCAGTGTCACTTCAGTAGAGTAAAAAAAAATCTGAAAAACCCCACAGCACCCATTGCCCTCACTGCCCCTTTTCACAAGGAAAAAAATGAAAAATAGTACTTTTGCTTCCCTTTCCAATTCCTGATGAAGCAAAAACAGAATGTTTTTTTTTTTTGCTGTTTAACATAGACAACAATGTCCCCTATCTTTACTAAAGGTAATAAAGTGGGAGAGGTTTTTCCCTTTAAATTTTCCTGCTAAGGGAAGGATGAACTGTTTTATTAAAATACACTCTGCAAAACTGGGGCTGCAAGGGGCCACGGGTTTTGCTTGACCACGTCGCAAACTTGTATGCATTGCGGTCAGTTATCATGTAGGAGTAAATAAAAAAGACGCTTGCCCCCTTCTGAGAGGGCCCGAAAAAGGGGGTGAAGGGGGCTTTATACCCCCCCCCCTGGAGAAAATTTCTCCACAGTATCCCTTTAAATGCTGAACTTTGAAAACCCCGCAACCCAAATTTCCCTTTAAAAATTTACATTAAAATTTTTAATTTTTTGGTTTTCATTTTCCCTTTTGGGAAAAAAATTCTTTATCATTTTTGAGGAAATTTTTTCATATTTCAACAAAGAAGGAAAACATGTAATTTGGTAGCCCTCGATGATTTAAGTATTTTAAAAACTAATTTATAGAAAGTTTTGGGGGAAAATTTAAATTTGAATGTTTCAGGGATATAAAAAGGGTTTAACATTTTAGAGAGATGAAAAAATTTTGGGGTATTTTTCAAGGTTAATTATTTTAAACCCCCTTTAATGTTGAGGGGAAAAAATAATTTTTTACGTAAAAATATTGGTTGGGAAATTTAAAATAACCCAGTACGATTTTATATAATAATGCCAAGATAATTAAAGTCATGAAAGAAAAATTTTTCAATTTTGGACATAGGGTTATGGTTCTTTTGTCCTCACTGTTTGTAAATTTTAAATTTTTGGGTTTTTTTAAAAAAGGCCATTTAAAAGTTAATTTAATTCATAAATGTACCAAAAAAAAGGTGGTTTTTTTTCCCGTAATTTGGTTTTTAAAATTTCTTTGACCCAAAATTTTAAAATTAAAGACATTTCCCTTCATGAAAAGTTTTTTTTTTTAATTATAAAAAACAACTGATTGTCTGTCTTGACGTCTATACCTCAAGACCCGGAGTTTGACCCAACTCGAACCCTCCATGTTAAAAAGAGCAGAGGGTGAGGTAAAAACCCGATAAATAAAGAAGAATTTTTTTTATTTTTGTTTTTTTTTTTTTTTTTTATAAGGTTTGATTTTTTTGGTTTTTTAAAGTTTTTATTGATTGTACTACCTACAGTGATACTGATGTTTTTATGTTTTCTTTTGCTTTCAGGGCACTAAAAGTCGAATGGTGGGGCCCCATTTTTCCCTTTTAAAAACACAGGGGATCTTTAAAAATTTCTCCCTTTTCCCAGTTCTGCCCCTTAAAACTCTTTTTTTTTTTAATAACTTTTATATAAAAAAAGGTACACCTACCAAACCCACTTAGACCGGAAATTCGGTTCCAAGAAACGGGCGTAAGTCGAAAAGGACATAAGTCGAAATTTACTACAGAATATCAATGTCACATTTTTGTAATGACTTTATTTTATTGTTTTATTTTGGTATTTCATGTTTTACTTTACTTTTTATGCTGTTAGTACTGTATTTTATACTGTAAGGTTTAGGATAAACACTGTGTACAACACAAATACTGTAGTTGTTTATTTCCCAGAAATTTGGCAAAAAAAACACGGTCGTAAGTTGAGTGGTCGTAAGTCGAGCAGGTCGTAAGTCGGATGGTAGGTGTTTACCTGGAGAGAGTTCCGGGGGTCAACGCCCCCGCGGCCCGGTCTGTGACCAGACCAGGTGTATTAATATATTTGTACAATGCAGTATTAGTATTTTTATAATGGCCTGCATGTGAAATTATTATATTTTAATCTCATTTTCTTTTAGATATTACCCTTCTCTGTCAAGGTGCATTAATGCATAGGAGAACATTCATGATGACTCACTCCCTTACTCTCCTTTTAGTGTTCATAGACATGATAATCCACTACAACATCCTAACCAGGCTCTGGTGGCCTGGTGGTTAACGCTCTCGCTTCACACGGTGAGGGCCTGGGTTCGATTCCCAGCCAGAGTAGAAACATTGGACGTGTTTCTTTCCACCTGTTGTCTATGTTCCCCATCAGTAAAATGGGTACCTGGGTATTAGTCGACTGGTGTGGGTCGCATCCTGGGACACTGACCTAAGGAGGCCTGGTCACAGACCGGGCCGCGGGGGCGTTGACCCCCGGAACTCTCTCCAGATAAACTCCAGATAACCTCCCTTTCCAAGTGTGGTCACTCTACTTCTAATCTCTAAAATTCATTTTTGTCTATCCAGTTTGTTTGAATTCCTTCACTGACATTGTCATGCTGATGCTCCAACAGCACATCAGATCCCAATATCAAATCCCAAAAACCACTTGCCTCCACTCTAGTCTAACATTCTCACATACCTCTGCTGGATGATCAACCTCCTACCTTTCAAAACATCCTTCAGGTACACTTTTCTACCCTATCTCTTGGTCATTTAGCATAGTTTGTGAGCCAGTTCTAGATACAGGAAGTGCTAAGCTATCATCAATCATGATACAAGATCTACTAGTAGTGTCAATAATGGGGGAAGCACTGAGTGCTGATACAGTCCAGTTCCTGGACCAAAGGCAGGAATGGCATGTTGTAAGTGTCACCTGCACCATTACAGTATTATCAGTATACCTGACACTATGGGAGTGGGAAATCCTATTATGATCCACTGAAATGTTAGCTAAATATCCTGATCCTAATTGCTGATTAGAGCACAGTACCCTCCAGGAAGGAGGAACAAGTTAAAATTGCACAGCAATGATGTGATGAAATTTTTGGCAGTCTTAGAGAGGTAATTACAGTGGTGTGAGCCTGTGCAGTGTCTGATGTTGACACTAGAGGGAGTGCAAGCCAGGTTACTCTTCCCATGATGATTCCTGGAGCCTAAACACACACACATATTAAACAGCCAAAATTATTTCACACATCCATTTTTTTCCCCAGAAAAATAGTTGCCTTCTTGCATACTCTTTCATGAATCTCCATCTGTTCATAAAAATCCTAACAGCTTTCAAGAACTTATCAGTTACCCCATAACACTTTTTTTTTGTACAGGGTTTGACAAGATTAGGTTAAGGATCCCTAGCTTTATTGAGAAGCTATTTACAGTTTAAGGATTCCTAACTTTATTGGCAAGTTAAGAGCTGTTACCTACATCAGCTCATTTGAAAGCATTTTTATTGTTATGAGACATACAAGTAGGGAACAGGATGAAGTTGGAACCATCTGTGGGCCAGCATTTTCATTTGATCAACTGACTTTATCTCGTTGACATCATTATGCTGTACGAATGTGTTCCATACTTGAGTCATCCTGGGTACAATAGGGCCCCACTTATACGGCGGGTTTGGTTCCAGGCTGTCGCCGGAAAGCAGAACGCCATTTTTTTTCCTTTTATAAATGAATATAAATGCCAGACAACAAGTTTACACTAAATTATATTAAGTTAGTAATAGAACTAGGCATTAAAAACACACAAAGTAAAATACATTCACAGTAAATTCATTACTTATCTTAAAGTATTTGTAATCTTAATGTAGGGAGAGAGGTGAGTAGTACTTATTTGTAGGAAGTCAGGTGCAGGTAGCCCAGGTGTAGGTAGCACTGGCTCCCCATCTCATACTTAATATACGATATTTAAAACATCCTAGAGAGGTAAAATACATATACAGTACACTCATTATTTACCTTAAAATATGTGTAGTCTTAATATAGGAAGAGCGGTGAGTAGTATTTATTTGTAGGAAGTCAGTATAGGTAGCCGGTAGGTGTAGCCCGCCTGGGCTACACCTACCGGCTACCTACACTGTGGCTCAGAGCCATATTATTAACATCGACATGCCTTGTTCACTGAATTTAATCATTTCAAACAACTACCTTTAGATGCCATCATAAACAAAGGTAGAAGTAATGAATAATTCATGCCGAAAATTGTAAACAAAAGCAGAGTGAGGGAGTGGCTGGGCCAAATGCAGATTCATACACGTTTTCTCTAATGTGAGCAGAGAAAACGTAATGTTGTCCCTCCACCTGGCTACCACACAGCTCCACAAGTATTATTATCAGAGCACACATAAAATATGCAATAAATGCCAGACAACAAGTTTACACTAACTTATATTAAGTTAGCAATAGAAATAGGCATTAAAAACACAATGAAAGGTAAGATACACATAGAGTACACTTATTACTTACTTACCTTAAAATATTAATATTAATGTGTGAGGTGAGTGGCAGGGTGTTTATTGAATAAAATCAGAATGGCACACCATCATCCTCTAACTTGGCACTTAAAGCAAGAGGCTTACGACTTCTCTTTTTATCACAGCTAACCTTAGACGCCATCGACAATGAGAGCCAACTAGTTAACGAAAGAGTAAACGAGAGAGAGAACGAGATACAGAGTTGAGACAATGTAAGAACACAAACTGAACAGGTAGTGGACGATCATTTGGTCAGGCGAAATAAATGCGTATTAATATGTGTCTACTTTTAGTTCATTCACGTACGTTTGTAAGAGTTTGTAAAACATTTACCTCAATATTTTTTTTATTATAAAATAATTACCTCACAATACAAATGCTCTTACATTGTGTACAAGTTGTACAAGTTAGTTCAGAGTAAACTAACTTACAAATACTTTAAGATAAGTAATGAATTTACTGTGGATGTATTTTATTTTGTTTTTAACGCCTAGTTCTATTACTAACTTAATATAATTTAGTGTAAACTTGTTATCTTGCATTTATATTCATTTATAAATGGAAAAAAATGGCGTTCTGCCTTCCGGCGATGTCTGCTTTCCGGCGACAGCCTGGAACCTAACCCGCCATATAAGTGGGGCCCTACTGTACATATAAAATATGCAGTAACTTTAAAACACTTGAAATTTTGGAAAGTTTTTTGACATAATAGATGAGGTCACGGAAAATTTAAACAAACCGGGTGGGGGGCACCATATCTGAAAGACCGCTTGCCATATAGCAAATTTTGGTCATAATTTGACATCGCCGTATTAGCGGAACGCCGTAAGGCGAAACGCCGTAAAGCGGGGCCTTATTGTACATGTATATATGATCTCAGATGGAGTGATGTTCTGGAGAAGGGTACAGCCAGAGTGAAGTGCTGCTTTCTGCCCATCTTGTGGCATATGCCTGTCTTAAGTCCGAGGCTTCGGTAAATGAGCACTTTGTTAAGTGAGGAGAGGCTGTATACAATTTTTTACTTATCCCTAGCCTGCCTACCCACTCTCTCCTGCCCTGTCATGCCCTGCCTTGCCTTCTCTGGCCTGTCCTGTCCTGCCTACTCTGACTTTTTCTGAACTATCTGCTCTGGCCTGTTGTGCCCTGCCTGCTCTGTCCAGCCCTCTCCTGCCTACTCTGACATTTTCTGATCTGTCTGCTCTGGCCTGTCCTCTCCTGCCTGCTCTGGCTTTTTCTAATCTATATGCTGGTCTGTTGTGCCCTGCCTTGCCTGCCTGATGTTAGAGGGTGTGTTGGAGGGGAGGGGAGATGGAGGGTAGGAAGAAGGGAGGCAGATGCAGGAGGGTGACAGTATGTGAACCAGATGTATACATGCTGTGACAAGAGAAAACAATTCTTTACCAAATTGACTGAATGCCTGTCCAACCCTGTCCTGCATGCTCTTCCCTGGCCTGCCTTGCCTTTTCTACTCTGCCTCTGAATATTTCAAGCTGCAGTCTGTGCTTGTTTACTGATCAGAAAAGCCCAGAGTTTAAACAAAAAGTGTCCAAAGGAAGGTTGGGTGTTCTGGCATCTTGGAACAAATCACCACAAAACTATGTACAGTGGAACCTCGGTATTCCAATTTAACCCTTTCAGGGTCCGTCCCGTAGATCTACGGCTTTACGTTCAGGGTCCAAACCGTAGATCTACGCCATGAGCTCAGCTCACTCTGATGAACTGTGAGTGGTACATTTGGGCCTAGATATGAGAGAATACATCTATGTGGTATGTGTGCACCACATAAAACAGATCCTGCAGCACACTGTGTATAATGAGAGAAAAAAAATGAAATCATGATTTTTCGATTAAAACAGCAACTTTGCAGTGTATTTTCGTATGTTTTTTATAGTTGTGTTTGCGATTTCTTGGTCTCATTTGATAGAATGGAAGACATATTACAGAAATAGAGATGATTTTGATTGGTTTTAGCATTGGAAATGGCTTGAAACTGAGCTCAAAGTAGCGGAAATGTTAAATTTTTGCCGATATTCAAGAGTAAACAAACGACCTCACACGTCTAATACACGTCAGCTGGTGGGTCTAATATACATTCACAAATATGGTGATGATATTTATATAATTATTACAGTATTGCATAACAGTAAATCTTCTATTTTTTGGTGTGAATAAAAATTCATTATGTGAATAAAAAATCAAAATGGAATTTATTTGTAAAGCCTCAAAACATAACTATTGAACAGAGGAAATGTTAGTTTAGTGCCAGGAATACCTACATTGTTTATTCTGGACCCTATTTTGAAATTGGAATATTTTGAACTTTGTGTTAAATTGGCCAAATTAACAATTTCCGATCACTTTATTTTGTAGTTGAAACAGTTGACTTGGCGATTTCTTGTGCTCAATCGATAGAATAGAAGTAATACTAGTGAAATAGCTAAGAATTTGGTTGATTGGAATAATGTAATCGGCCCAAAATGGGAGTCAAAGTCGGCAAAATCGCCGATTCGTAAATATCGCTGACACATCAAAATTCGCGAGAGCATAATTTCGTCAATTTTCCACCAAATTTCGTACTTTTTGTTTTATTACCTTTACAAAAAGATTCTCTACGATTTCATAAGAAAAAATAACAAATTTTTTTTTTTGAAAATTCTTGGACACTGGTGCGTGACTCCAGATTTGGGCCTTGGACCCTGAAAGGGTTAATTGGTTTCGGGAGGCTGTTCCAGTGCTGATCTGTTCGAGTATCAAATGAATTTATCCCAACCAATTTTCTTTTTGGTTGGCTGTTATCACTAGTCTTCGTAAGCCCCATGGTGACTTATTTATTCAAATAATATATAAAAAACACCAAAACATGCCAAGAAACATGAAATAGTTTACATCGAAGTTCTGGCAGGTCATATTTGTTTGGTTGAGTGCTAAGCAAATGGTCAACTACCGAGCAATTTTTTTACTGAACAGAGTGTTTGAATACCGAATTGTTCGAGTAGGGAGTTCAAGTACCGAGGTTCCGGTTCCACAGTATGTATTTTGGGGTTTGAGGTAAGATAGTTTTGAGGTACAATATGTCTTCTGAAATTGATTAAAATTGTAACTCAGAGACTACTATGATTTGACAAAAAAAAGTATTTCAAGCACATAATTCTTACATTATAATAAATTTATAAAAATTTTTTATTTAAGTTAGGACAAATTTTGAAAGATTCAGTCTTTTTCAAATATAGTATAATTTTTTGTTAGAAATTAAAAAATTTTCTCATACATATTTTATGTATTATCAGGTTGTTTTGTAGTCTGTTTTGGTATTTATGAAAGCCTATCTGATTCCTTCATAATCACCTTGCCTCGGTGGGAAATGGCCTACGTGTTGAAAAAAAAAATATTAAATATATTTTTTTTTATAATCCTGGAAAAGTAGTTCTGCAAATATTAATTTCATAGTCTTTGTGTAAGTTTTTAAATTCCACAGGTGCTAGTTGCAAATCTAACTTATTAGTAGTGTTGATACTTTTACATAATGATATGCAAAATCCAAATTAACCATGGAATCTTTGGATGTACTAATGTAATGCTAACAGTATGAGAATGTTGACTCTTAATGCTTAATATGCTTTCATTGAGAACACATTTTGCTTTACTTCACAAATCTTTGCCCAGAGCAAAGCGAGAAATAAGACACACGTGCAACAGTTGGGTATCTTTATTATTGATACACATACCAGTTGTGCACATGTAATGCTCAGCTTCTTGGGCTGAAATATTTCCATGAACATGCTTTAAGTGTTTGTTGGTGTATCTTAGACCACATCTTGTCAGTATTATATACCATGTTTTCACTGTATATCTTATCTGCAGGAAGTTGTCATCCAGCAAGATGATGAGATAAGAGTGAAGATTGTTGGCACCAGAGTGGATGCTACAGATATTGTAAGTAATTGACTGTGACAACAGTTGTTGGTACCAGAGTAAATGCTAAAGAGATAGTATCATACAACACTTGTAAGAGTTTATAACTGTGTTTTGAAAGTTGTGTTCTCTAATGGTTGGTCACAACAGATATACTGTACACTGTTACACTAGACAGCCACCAGGAACAACTCACAAAGCTCTCAGCAATTTTGTGATGGTCACATGATCGATGAGAGTCTTGATATGTGACGTTGTAGTTAAGGTATCTGCAGCTCGATTACCAGTTAGTAATTACGGGAGTATTTCTGGGCTTCCATCTTTATTTAATTAATCAGTTTATTAAAAATATTTTGCAAGTTTCTAGTGGTTGCTTCTTGGATCCTATTCCACCCATCCACCACAATTTATGAAGTATGTCATGCTGTCATTTCTTCATTTTCTCGTGGGTCTAGGTAATTTGACTTAGTAATTGAACCCCCAGTAATTTAGTACCTCCCTGGGTGGTTTCTGTCTACCAACCTACTACCTATGATTCAACAGACTTATTCCCCTATAATTTTTGTACTCTCTTTTATCCCCTTTGCCTTTATACAAAGGAACTATGCATGCTCTCTGCCAGTCCCTAGGTACCTTACCGTCTTCCATACATTTATTAAACAATAGCACCAACAACTTCAAAACTATATCCCCTCCTGCTTTTAACATTTCTATCTTTATCCCATCAATCCCAGCTGCCTTACCCCCTTTCATTTTACCTACTGCCTCACGAACTTCCCCCACACTCACAACTGTTTCTTCCTTCACTCCTACAAGATGTTATTCCTCTTTGCCCTATACACAAAATCACAGCTTCCCTATCTTCATCAACATTTAACAATTTCTCAAAATATTCCCTCCATCTTCCCAATACCTCTAGCTCTTCATTTAATAACACTCCTCTCCTATTTTTAACTGTCAAATCCATTTGTTCCTTAGGCTTCCTCAACTTATTAATCTCACTCAAAAACTTTTTCTTATTTTCAACAAAAGTTGTTGATAACATCTCACCCACTCTCTCATTTGCTCTCTTTTTACATTGCTTCACCACTCTCTTAACCTCTCTTTTTCTCTCCATATACTCTTCTCTCCTTGTATCATTTCTACTTTGTAAAAACCTCTCATATGCTAACTTTTTCTCCCTTACTACTCTCTTTACATCATCATTCCACCATTCGCTCTTCTTCCCTCCCGCACCCACTTTCCTGTAACCACAAACTTCTGCTGAACACTAACACTACATTCTTAAACCTACCCCATACTTCTTTGACCCCATTGCCTATACTCTCACTCGCCCATCTATCCTCCAATAGTTGCTTATATCTTACCCTAACTGCCTCCTCTTTTAGTTTATACACCTTCACCTCTCACTTACTTGCTGCTTCTGTTTTCCTTGTATCCCATCTGCCTTTTACTCTCACTGTAGCTACAACTAGAAAGTGATCTGCTAGTAATCCTTTCCTTAAATCACTTGTTAAAGCAACTGCTGAAGAAGAAATTTCTCGCCTAGCTGGTAGTAATAAGTTATCACAAGTTATATACACTGATGGATCTAAACAGGAATCTTCTGGCAGGGCTGCATCTGCTCTCGTTGCCACCTCCCTAGTTAACCCTTAAACTGTCCAACCATAGATCTACATTTTTTCAACATTTGAAAGTATGTTAAAAAATGTTGACCTTTTTTGTTTTACATTTGAAAACGTGTAAAAAAGCTTTGATCTACATTTTTTTTGTTATTGAAAATATGTAAAAAAAACGTAGATCTACTTCTGGAGCGCTACACATGTGAACTTAGATCTGTTTGGACAGTTGAAGGGTTAAAAACGATAATAAACTTGTTGAACTAGGCATGAGTATTAACAACTGGGTGTCTACATTGCAAACTGAACTGTTTGCAATCCTAATGGTGCTAAAGCTAACTTATGACACCGAGCTTGACTCTATCATCATTACTGATTCTATGTCATCACTGAATGCTCTTAACTCATATAATGACTCCAACAACATGCTCATTGGAGAAGCCAGGTATAGATACTCAAAAATCAGGGACAAAGGAATTCATGTACAATTGCTCTGGATCCCATCACACATTAGATTACACCTTCATGATAAAGCTGATATGTTAGCCAAGAAGAGTACCCAGAAGGAGAATGTAGAATATAACTTTGGTATATCTGTATCTAGCATTAAGAATAATATTAGGAGAGAAGTAAGTGAAAATGATTGTTACAGGAATGCAGTTAGAAGCCTGAGTATATCTATAACCCACTATGATAACATGAACGTAGATAAGTATGTTTATGGAGCAACTTGCAATGTGAACAGACTGACTGATGTTGTAGTGGCCAGACTTAGGCTTGGTTACAAATACGTACTTCTGGCAGTTTGGGAGAGACACAGATGATGATCAAACGAAATGTAAATTATGTGAACACTATATGCTTAATTGTCCACTTATTGAGGAATACAGAGACAGTATAATAACCTATGTGACATGTCAATATATCTTATTAATGAAAATAAGATACCAGATATACTAAGCAAATTTCCTAAATTTGCTTGTAACAGATAAGTGAACTATAGATTTATTTATTTTTTTAATTATCACACTTACCGATTCCCACCAAGGCAGGGTGGCCCGAAAAAGAAAAACTTTCACCATCATTCACTCCATCACTGTCTTGCCAGAAGGGTGCTTTACACTACAGTTTTTAAACTGCAACATTAACACCCCTCCTTCAGAGTGCAGGCACTGTACTTCTCATCTCCATGACTCGAGTCCGGCCTGCCGGTTTCCCTGAACCCCTTCATAAATGTTACTTTGCTCACACTCCAACAGCACGTCAAGTATTAAAAACCATTTGTCTCCATTCACTCCTATCAAACATGCTCATGCATGCCTGCTGGAAGTCCAAGCCCCTCGCGCACAAAACCTCCTTTACCCCCTCCCTCCAACCTTTCCTAGGCCGACCCTTACCCCGCCTTCCTTCCACTACAGACTGATACACTCTTGAAGTCACTCTGTTTCGCTCCATTCTCTCTACATGTCCGAACCACCTCAACAACCCTTCCTCAGCCCTCTGGACAACAGTTTTGGTAATCCCGCACCTCCTCCTAACTTCCAAACTACGAATTCTCTGCATTATATTCACACCACACATTGCCCTCAGACATGACATCTCCACTGCCTCCAGCCTTTTCCTCGTTGCAACATTCATCACCTGCTTCACACCCATATAAGAGTGTTGGTAAAACTATACTCTCATACATTCCCCTCTTTGCCTCCAAGGACAAATTTCTTTGTCTCCACAGACTCCTAAGTGCACCACTCACCCTTTTCCCCTCATCAATTCTATGATTCACCTCATCTTTCATAGACCCATCCGCTGACACGTCCACTCCCAAATATCTGAATACATTTACCTCCTCCATACTCTCTCCCTCCAATCTGATATCCAATCTTTCATCACCTAATCTTTTTGTTATCCTCATAACCTTACTCTTTCCTGTATTCACTTTTAATTTTCTTTTGCACACCCTACCAAATTCATCCACCAATCTCTGCAACTTCTCTTCAGAATCTCCCAAGAGCATAGTGTCATCAGCAAAGAGCAACTGTGACAGCTTCCACTTTATGTGTGATTCTTTATCTTTTAACTCCATGCCTCTTGCCAAGACCCTTGCATTTACTTCTCTTACAACCCCATCTATAAATATATTAAACAACCATGGTGACATCACACATCCTTGTGTAAGGCCTACTTTTTTTGGGAAATAATTTCCCTCTTTCCTACATACTCTAACTTGAGCCTCACTATCCTCGTAAAAACTCTTCACTGCTTTCAGTAACCTACCTCCTACACCATACACCTGCAACATCTGCCACATTGCCCCCCCCCCCCATCCACCCTGTCATACGCCTTTTCCAAATCCATAAATGCTACAAAGACCTCTTTAGCCTTATCTAAATACTGTTCACTTATATGTTTCACTGTAAACACCTGGTCCACACACCCCCTACCTTTCCTAAAGCCTCCTTGTTCATCTGCTATCCTATTCTCCGTCTTACTCTTAATTCTTTCAATAATAACTCTACCATACACTTTACCAGGTATACTCAACAGACTTATCCCCCTATAATTTTTGCACTCTCTTTTGTCCCCTTTGCCTTTATACAAAGGAACTATGCATGCTCTCTGCCAATCCCTAGGTACCTTACCCTCTTCCATACATTTATTAAATAATTGCACCAACCACTCCAAAACTATATCCCCACCTGCTTTTAACCCTTTGACTGTTTCAGGCCCCTCTCTGAAACTGTCATTCTATGTCGCTCAATTTAAAAAAAAAAAAAAAATTTTCTTATGAAATGATAGAGAATCTTTTCCCGATGGTAATGACACCAAAAGTTCGAAATTTGGTCGAAAACTCATGGAATTATGCTCCGCGAAGTTAGCGGTCTTGGCGACATATGCGTATCGGCGATTTTGCCGACTTTGAGCCCTATTTTCAGCCAATTCCATTGCTCCAGTTGACCAAACTCATAGCTATTTCTTTAGAACTCCATTTTATCTATCAGCTGAGTACAAGAAACCTCCCATTTACTAATTTGGACTACCCAATATGGTGGTCAGAAATTGGCAATTTGGCCAATTTCACGCAAACTAAAAAAGATGCCAATTTCAAAATAGGGTCCAGAATAAACAAGGTAGACATTCATGGCACTAAACTAACATATGCTCTGTTCATTAGTCACATCTCTAGGCCCCTCTTATATTATTATTGCTTTTTATTTTGATTTTTTATTCATAAAAAAATACAAAATTTACTGTTATGCAGACTACTGCATTATTGTAAAAATGGTATAAATAATATCAGTGCACTAGTGAAAGAATATTAGACTCCCCAGTTGACGTGTATTGGACGTGTGGTGTGATTTATTTACTCCTGAACATTGGTAAAAATCGAACATTTCCGCTACT